TCTCGATTGGATGAAACTGTCAACAACTGATTCCTGCCAGGGGCAGACTTGTGTAAATCGCAGTATAGCTTTTGGCAGTAGTCGAAAAAAGCGTAAATGCAGATATGGATTTTGGCGGTTGTTAGGCGAGATAGTTGAAGTTAAATGCCACTTATTTATTCAACAATGAAATGCTATTATGCGTGGGACTCGGGAAAATTGAAAAAAGCGCTTGGACATTGTGCTACGTACACTATCCATCTAGGTTATACAGTTAAAAGTTGTACCCTCCTTCCCAATAAAAAAGAGGACTTTCCTCTCACCCAGTTTTTCTTAAAAAAGAGGTTATGTTCAGTGGAAAGAGGACGTATGGTAATCCTACTCCGTTATTAATTTCACTATATTTAAAATTAGCTGTAGTTTGTCGCATTTTAACGCAACTTCTATAACAGCTTGATGGAAAGACTTTGCATCACGAACCTAATAAAAGTCTGAGTGATTCTTCGCTTAAAACATGAAGTCCGTTGACACTTAGTTAACTGGCGATGCCATCCAATCTAGTAGCTCATTTACGATGCAAAATAATTTTTATTACACGGAAGCGAACATGTCTGGTTGTCAATTTTGTCAACAACGCTCATTTCTATAATTTATTCTTAATTCACCTAATATTAGTAAAGGAATGGGAGAAGGTGTTCCGGGACTCAAGAAAACTTATGCGTACAAAATACATAGGATTTGCTTGAATATCACTTAAGTAATTCACCGTACTGACATTCAGACTCCTGATTGGATGACAGCGTCAAATCTGATAGTTGTCTACAGACTTAATATTTTAATTGAAGCATAAGGATCTCCGACATTTGCTCAGTGTCAGACACATCCAAGCGCAGTACAAATGAATCGTATGGCTCGAATGTCGCAGTTACAAGCTGAACGACACAAGTGGCACGAGTGAGGTTAATTGAAATAAAATATGCTGTGAGTAGCATGTGCTGCTATTGTGTTATATCACATCGTGGTCGGTATATCGTAACGTACTAGAGTGCGCGTTGTACTTGGCAACACCGCCACCTCTGCACCCAACAATCATCCACATTATTCAGACATTACAATTTATTATATTACAATTATGCGTTAATATTAGTGCAGCACAGTTGATGGGAAAACCTAAACATTTAGGGAAACATGTACATGACGTTATGGGAGTTAGGATCATAACCTCCAATTTTGGAATTCAAACTTAATGTAAGTTAATTTATCAGTTTTTCGTAACAAGATTTTTTTGTGCAACTACGCAACACACATTATGTATTTATAACAAAACATTGAACAGTTAAAATATTTATTTTTCTGGGTAGAGGCAGGAATGGTAGTGGGAACAGCTACAACCTTGTTGCCACGTCCACCCTTTGACGTATCGCGCTGTGCTAAGGAAGTACACGTTTTTATTGTCATTATGTTTCATGTGCAAACTAACCATTAAGGAGAAGAGTTTCACATTTGGCACCTCTGTTATAAGAGGCCGTGCTACACTCTTAAATCTCGACCACACCATAGGTGCATCATTCCACTAGGCGGAGGGGGTCAGCGAGCTCCCCTTGGCGATTCATTCCAAATTTTTAGCGGACCGTGGTTTAGATGGTATGGATATTTTACTTTTGACTTAATTTTGATTTTTTTTTTATAACTGAGGATTTCACGGCGTAAATGTATGTTTTCATTCTAACACTGTAGAGGAATCAAAGGGAAAGACCCGGCAACATTGTGCGTACCTATCGGCTAGAGTATCTATAGTAATTCACAGTGGGGGGTTTTAACTTGGTGCTTTTTTGTTATTTTTTATATCAAATTATCTGCCTTCAGCTTATGCGGGATGTTATACTCATGCACGCGAGAATAATATTATACGTGCACCTTTAGCATGACCGGAATACCCACTGTCTCTTTTACTAACATAAGTTGAATTTAAAATAAATAGTAGCTGCGAGGGGTGTCAACCAAACCAAATCTAACAACCAGGAATGCTTGCTCCAATGTAATAGAAACTATTTTGCATCAAAAAATTAGCTACAGATTAGATATAATGGTGCGGTTATCAAAATAACTAAACCTCCCACTACTCTCGCATCTAGTGAAATTAGGGCTCAAGAAAAGTGCGCGGATAATACTTCTGACGGGGTTTACTCGCGCTGCGCCGTATTTTCATTTCCAGAACATAATTCAACAGCTAATTGTAATTTTGTAAATTATATTTGGGTTTTAAAGAATAGAAAGTGGATTAATTCCCTTTCCAATTGTTTATCCAGCTCCATGAATATGATTTCAATGGGCTTCTTTCACGTGGTCTTGAAAGAGACGCAGAAATTTGATAGTACACCACCCAAGGGATGGTATTTAGAGCAAGCAATTTGTGTTTTATTTCCTGGGGCATTTAACACCTGTCTGTTTGGGGTCATTTGTGATCATGTTATTTAATTCAAGGTTGACTGTGATCAGACATTACACCGAATAATTTGTGATATACTATCGTTTTTCTGAATTTTTGATAGTTTTACAAAATATTTTGTTCCGTTTTTCAGTTCATTTCTAAAAAGAATATTCTGAATAATGGCTGGGTTAAAGGCTACTGATTTGTTCTTATTTAATTTTTAAAAAGACATCTCTTTTATTTAGTGCATTAGTTTAAATTTTTTTATATTTTGTACTTTTTTTTCACATACACACACATGTCTTCATAAGTATTTACGTCTGATTTATGAAAGGTTATTTTCAGAATTGGCAATAATATTAAATAGAAATGGTGACTGGAAAAACATTTTTATGAGTGACTTTAATGCAGATGTTTGTAAAAATAAAAAGAAGAAAAAAGAGATGATTCTATGACGGGGCCTCATTGAGAGGAGACACTCAATGACAATGGGGGCATCTTATTAAATTCTTATTAGTTCTCTCTCCATATAAAAAATGGATTTTATCAACATCCAGACAAAAAAAAAAGGTCCAATCAAGAGATGAATTGTAAATAATTGATTATGTAGTTGTGATACAGCAAACTAGAACCAAAGACTTATGTACAAGGGCATAAAGGGGTGCTGATTGTGGTTCAGATCACTTTCATTAAAATTATCTGTTCTTTTTAAATTTGTACATAGAGAATCTAGCCAGCAAAATAGTTCCTCTAAACAAAATGTATTTGATGTATGCAAGCTTCAGAATACTTCTAAGTCTTAAATACCAAGTATATGTAGCTCAAAGTATTAGTAACATGTTAATGGAAAACACCTCTGTAACATATTAAACAGAGGAAGGTAGCAGGGCCTTTGTGGAAATAAAAAAAATGCCAGAGCTCCGGAACCTCAAGATATCCCAATAAAATTAATTAAAACACACCTCTAAAATGCCAAATATGCCATGGCTCAGTTATTCAATAAATGTGGGAATTTAACTTATGAAAAATGGCATATGTTTGGCATATAACTGGCATCTAGAATCATCAACATTTCATATGTAAGAAAGGCAATAAGAATGAATGTGAAAATTATAGGGGTATTAGTATTACCAGTTCAATTGGGAGACTGTATGGCTGGATACTGAGGGGAAGACTCAAATCAAGAGACGTTGTGGAGAAATAGAATGGCTTTTATACAGGGAGATTTTGTATTATTTGAAACAAACTATTGAAAAAATGAGTGTAGGTGGAGAGATACACATGGTATTTGTAGAACTGAGAAAAGGCATTTGACTTAGTACCCCTCATTAAACTGTGGGATGTGATGACAGATGAAAATGTAAATATGGAATACATTAATGCTATAGATTCTCTCTGTATGCAGATTGCCAGAGCTGCATTAAAGTAAACTCTAGTCGATGATCAGCATTTAGAATAAATAAAGGTCTTAGACATCCCCTACTTATTCAAAATATTTATAAAACAAATTCTTCCTGGAAAAGAAAGTGCAAGGGTATGAAAATTCCTGTTGGGACAGATTTCTTGTATACAGTAATGTATGCAGACACCCAAGTGATCATAGCCAATGATGAGGAGGATCAACTACATGACTAGAAAATTAATAGAATATGAAAAGTGGGACTGGAGATAAATATATCCAAAACGAAGTTGGAGGAAAGGATCTGGACTTGATAACTCAAAGAGTAGGATTAAATAGTACAAGAATTCAGTTATCTGGGATTCACTGTGACAAAAGATGGATGTGACAGCCTAGATATCCAAAACAATATGAACAGAGGCAGGCAGGATACTAGAACATTATATCCATTGGCTTGGAACTCTGATATAAAAAATAAAAAAACACAATACTTTATAAACGTATCATCCCGTTTATTGTAGTAAATGAATTACCTTGTATAACACAATAGTTGAATACTTCATTTGCATCCTCTTTATCATCACATTCATATTGTTTTGAAAGAACCTTTCACGGCATTTATGATTCTAGTGAGAATGGATTTTTCCAGTTCTCATCTTGCAATCCATGCTGATTGAGTCTTCGGGCTCAACAGATTTGCCAAAGATGAACTAAATATTTTGTAGTTATATGTTTCTTTGAACCCTCTCATTTGCTGTGAATGCAAAAAAATAATTCGCAAGATCAACTCTCTAATGTTATTGGAATTTTAAGTCCTGAGGCAATGAAGGTTTTCTTGGAAATTGTCTTTTCCTACATATACAATATCTGATATGCGGAGTTCGCTATAACTGCATCATCTAGTGTTTATTTGTAATGAATGCGAGTCCTAATCAGTTACTTTAGTTCACTAAAACTAATATTTTACTGCATCGGAGTTCATTGGATCCAGCGTCGACTGTATAAATAAATTGGTAGATTCTTTTTATTTGTTGTGTTAGATATTCTGTGAGCCTTTTGTTCCTTTTGATTAAATTTGTTATTGAATATCACTTTTAACTAAAATTTTGTGGATAAATTATGAGAAGTATATTAATCTGCTTTTCGTAGTGTTTGTGAGTTTATATTCAAATTATTTTCCCTTCTATTTAGGAAATTGTTGCAAACGATGAAGATCTACCGGAACCAGAAGAACGTGTGGGTGGTATACGCATATGTGACAGCTGTTTCAAGGTAAAAATATTGCATATAAAACTGTGTATCTACCTAAAAATACTATTATATTTTTGTATACTATTGTATGCTTTATGGTTTTGTGTTTAGCCTCGGAATTGGGTAACCTCCTACAAAGTGCAAACAAATGGAACTGAAAAAGTGAAATATTTTTGTTCACAAGACTGTGCTTCAAATTTTAAGAGGGTCTCTAGAACAAAACTCATTGACACAGATGTCAACTCGAATGCTGAACCAGTTAGAAGATTTACTAGAAAGTGTGCACAATGTACCAAGGTGGTAAATGGAGAGGAGAAGAACTTGTCTTGGGAGACGATGGATTTTTGCAATGAAGAATGCCTTGGTAAATTTGTTGATGACTTACTATTTTGTGCATGTACATTTTGGACCAGTGATAATGTTGTGTATTTTTATTGTAGGCCGATACCAGAAAGTTTTAGGATCACAATGTGCAAATTGCAAAGGAACTGTGGCTTCACCTAGTCTGGGCAAATACTGTGTTCGATTTGGATATGATGTGAAACAGTTCTGTTGTAGTGGATGTTTAGAAGAATTCAAGAAAGGATTGAAAGTTTGTAGTTATTGCCAAAAAGACATTTCAGGAGGGTCTGAGGGATTCTTAGCTCCTGTTGGTGACAAAGGGCAGTTTAAAGACTTTTGCACTCAGTCGTGCATGGAAAAATATGATCAAATGAGTAACAACCATGCACCTCCAGTCATTGTACAAGAGTGTGCTGTGTGTAATAATGAGAAAGTTGTGTCCATGGAAGTTATGCATAAGAAGAGAGTGCACAAATTTTGCAGTGAACCGTGTTTTGCAGCATTTAGATTTGTAAATGGAATGGCTGCAGGTATTTTTTTTTCTTGATCACAATGAAGTCATGTGTTATGAAAATCATCTTTGCTTGTTTATGAAGCCCTTTTCTTTCTTTCTTTCTTTATTATTTGGGATTTTGACGAAAAGCCTTTTTATTTTTCAGATCAGTGTTACATGTGCAAGAAATTCTTTGATAAGAAAGAAGTGGATAATTTTGCTGTTTATTCAGACGATTTAGTCCATAGCTTTTGCAGCAAAACCTGTATGAACGTTTACATTTTGGCAAATCGAAAAATTGTTCCATGTCACTGGTGTAAGGTAAAATGCACTGTAATTTTATTCATTTGTATTTAGAAATACATTGCTAGATATTACTTGGAGAGATGGAAATCAGAATCTGAAAAAGAAACATTATAAAAGAGAAACAAATAACATTTAATTTGAATAAGAATTGTCGCTTTAAAGGATTGCAAATAATTGTCATTGACCATTCAGGTGAAATTTAATTGAAGAGATTATGTGAATACCTCATGCAGGACTGTTGGTTGGTCCCCTGTGTAGGTACTAATTCTTTTTTAACTAACTAAGAAAATATATGTGGATTCAAACAATTATATCTATCTGAAGTTTGAACTGAAGGGCCAATACATACCTCACAATGTTCTGGCAATTGTTTTTCAGTTAAAAAATGGCAAATATTCACTGTATGTCATTGGAAATGCTAACTGTGAAGCTGATGTCTTATAAATGCATGTTTAAGAATTCTTTAACATTGAATGAGTGCAAAACGCACAGTTAAGAAAAGTATCTTACCATAATTGCATATTCTTTAACCCTTTGACTGCTCTAGACAAGTTGATGGGCAAAATATTTCCGTATGTGGTGGCCTCTGAATGAGTTATTACACTCAATCAAGTTGTCATTGGAAGCCTCTGTATGAGAACGTACATGGAACCGTGATGTCCCCATAGTCTCTGGATGAGTTCGCTCATGCAGACACACTTTCAGCTATCGCTAGGACTTACCGATAACTGAGATGCCTTGCATGGCATCTACGTGCAAGGAGCTCAGCTCACAATGGGGTCCGCAGTGAGAAGCGTGACGCAAGAGGCATGACTCACATTTGGCCGACCTATAGCAGTTAAAGGATTAGGAACATATCCTTCTGATTCTGATGTTTATAATTACAATGCACATGATAGAAATCACGTTCATCAGGTGTCAGTATCAATAGCTCACTACAAGCAATCCACATATAATACATGTATGTTACTTTACAACACGGTCAGGTGCCATTAAACAATTAAAATTGATACATAAATTTAAGTTCAAAGTAAACTCTTTTCTACTGCAGAACTGTTTCTGTACAATTAGTGACCGTACTGGCCATCAAATTAATAATTATTTTTACAATGATACATAATGCATTAGTTTGCATTTGTATTGTGTAATTTTCAAATACTTAATATGCCTTAACAAGCAAAGTACTTCAGCTTCAAGATCAATGATCTCATCTTAATTAGGCTTTCTTTCAGTTTCCCTGATCCATAGAACAATTGTAATGGCCTTTTTTTTGGTTCTGGACATGTATGTACCTTCACTATATTGTTGAGCACCCCTTTTGCTAGTTGTGGAAGGCGGGGATATTGGTTACTATTTTGCTAACAATATTAAAATATCAAATCTGTAGTTAATTTACTAATGCATATTGGTTTTCTATAATTCAGATGTGAAAAGGATTAGTTTTCAAACACTTGCCCTGCTTAGTTGGTAAATTTTTTCATCATGAAACTAATTAGAGTTAAAAGGTGAGGAAGAGATTGTGGAGCTCAAGAAAACATGTGCAGATTATACTTCTCCCTCATAAGTCGCCTAACATTTTTACTGTTCTCTTGACAAAAGTAATCAAATCAGATTATGTGGGTAGGAAATGAGCAACCACTTCTCTTCATCATGCGCTGTCGTCTCAACTCAAAGTACTCTCACTGGCATGTGCATGCGCACGCACACGCCCACACCCACATTCTCACATTCCAACTCACACTCACACTTACCGTACATGTTGGGAGCTTAGAGCTTGTCGACTGAAATGGTACCACACTAGAGGAGGGAAAAACCTTGCAAGCTGTTGGTAGCTGGACACTGGATTTCGTGTTAAGCAGAGGAGGAAGACTGCCACCTCTCACGAAATAACATGTACTACACTAACGGGACCTGTGATCATTGCAGGGAAACAATATTTGAGAGAGAGAAAAAAGAAACCCAGTGGTCTCCCGTACTTAAAATGGGACCGGGAGATAGAAATATAATTCTATTAATTTGTGATGTGATAGGATTTGAAACTTCACATACTTTCTGTTCCAAACAACTATGGAGAATTAAGAAGGAAAGAGACCAATGTGAAACAGCAGACCTTTAGGTCTGAATTTTGAGAAAACTTTAGCATTTAGATAGGTCAGTAATGAACAAATTGCAATTTTTGTCAGTGCTATTTAACTTCTGCAGAGCGAAATGCCACTTGATGATTGTTTCTATATTGTCACCTGAGGATGAGCAAAACACAACTCCTTTTGCAGGCAGGACAGAAAACTTCATTTTTCCCCTTGTAGCTATTTGATGCTTTTTCAACCACGGGTTAAATTTGTCAAGTCCTGAAACATTGAAATAGGTTGCACCAGTCATTCCATTCTGCGATTTTGAATCTAGAAAGATTCACAAATTAAAATGAATGAAAATGAGTTGTATCAAGTTGCTTCTTAGCTGACAATATGGTCAGAGGTTGGAACTCGTAGCTAATTTAAGTTAAACGACTAGGTTTTAAGAAAATTTCACCTAACGGTATTCTGCTAGTGCAGGAATTCACAAATCTTAGTGAAAGTTGACTGCAAGGGTGGGGAACCTTAGATTTCTTGAACTTTTCTGCTTTACAAACATTAATTGGATCAAGTTTTATTTTGTAGTAGTGGATTATGTGTATTACTAACAACAGTAGTAAAAACCACTTTCACTTAATGTTATTGATACACTAATTACTCTAGTACTTAGAAAGTATCTGCCACTAAATTCCTGGGAAAGCAGTAAAATTCTCAAAGTGTGCAAATGTTCTAATTATTTCATAAAAGCAAGATAATATATAGTGCCAATAAACAAATCTGAATGTTTGTTAGTAAGTTCATTTGTGAATGTGATAATTTTGATACCTGTTATTGGATTATAAAAATCATTTTCTTTCATCTTTGATTACAGGTGAAGAAGTACAATTTTGATATGATCAAACGTGTCTATAACACAGGCCAACTTCTTCTAGTCTGCTCATTAAATTGCCTCTCCTTGTACCAAGTAGGTGCAAATGTTGTGTCTTCAAAAAGGTATGTTTCAAAACCTCTGATCAAAATGGTTTGATAAATGTGTATCTAGTATTAACAAGAAATTTTATTTGTAGAGTCTCATGTGATTTCTGTAATGGTATGTGTTCACCGCAATATAATTTAAACATGTCAGATAATACAGTTCGGAACTTCTGCGGCTATCAGTGTGTCATGAAATTTCAAGAACAGTTCGCCAATGCCGTGCGTGTTGATACATCACCTTTTCCCACAGGTTAGTACCACTTTAATTTGGTGATAGTGTAAAATTTGCTTAATTAAATCACTGAGGTAAAGCAAATTGGGGGCTGTGGTTCAGGGTTGAGTGAACCCTAGGAATCCTGGGTACTGACTACTGAGCCCCTAGATGAAAGGATAAAAAGCAAAATAAACAGAACAAAGGAATTTATAAACCGAAAAAAAGTATTGCTTGTTAATATCACCTTTCCTGCTTATTAATTGTATGAAGGGGTGGTGGTGAGGAATCAAATAGATTTTTATGGCCATTCGTTTCTTAGTGAAACAGACAAAATATTCAGATCTCTTGTGAATCCATGAAGAGTGCTGTCCTCTTACATTGATACATGGACATGTCCAAAATTGAATTGTTTTTTTAGTGTTCATATTACTTGTAAGGTGATCATAATAAAGGCTGTTTAATTAATGTTATATTTGTTAAGAGTAAAAGAGTGAAGATATTTGAAAGAACTGGAAATGGGGAAAGAGTTTTAAGAATTAATTTAAGATAGATTTTGTTTTGATTTCTCCAGAAATGAAATGAACATGTTTGGTGTAATTAATGAGTGCAGTTCTACCTACATTTATTTTCTGATGTTCAATAGTGGATGTGAAGATCGTTTTCTAAATCATTCTATAATAATAAAAATACTTTAAATAGGATCTTGTTAACTGCAGTAGAGAAGTTGAAAAAATCGGCTTTCAAAATTTCTTTGATGGAAACTTCTAAAAAGTTGCCTATTGGTGTAAAAATGAGATTCTCAGTTTCAGTTCGATTGGATAACGTTAACACCTGCCTCATCAGCCCTAACAAAAAAATGGAAGGAAAAAGACATGTTCTTCACAATAAAATGACACTTGTCATGGAAACATATTCACTTTTTAGTTTTGAAGAGAAAGTTTTTACCTTTAATTTGTATCCTCACGTCTTGTTTGATACACTTGTTGATCAGATTTTCATGGACCACACATGGAGATTTGCATTACGTATTAGTCAATAAAATAATTTTCTAGTTTTCTTTTTGAATTATTTAGTATCAGATGGTTCTAATAAGATGATTTTTAATTTCATGTTTGCACCAGTTCTTTTCACATGGAATAAATTTAGGGGGGTGATGAAAATATTGACATACAAGGCAATTATTTATTATTAGGGATAGGGTTTTAATGTAAATAAATATTTTTACAGGTAAAAGATTTATTCAATTGTTTTGGGGGTTTTCCCCCTCATTTTATTATAATTACATATTTTACCTATTACTACTCAATATTTCTTTATGTTTTAATATCTGTACATGGCAAAATGGGGCCTCTCAGAGTTTGTAAATGTTTCTGAAATTTCTTGTCTGTCCTTCTGTTAATCAACTCAATATAATACTGTATACTATGATCTTCCTCTAAGACCAGACCTTTGTCTTGAATTGTCAGTCTTACCCCTGCTTATCAGAAATCTCAAACTCAGAATAAAGGATTAACAAATATTTGCAAATCAGAAGTGGAACCATGAGCTTGTTCATGTTTCTTAGAGCCCTTGTGTAAGTTGATTGACACATGAGAAACCTTTCTGCAAACCATTGTCGTATTGCACTTTCTGCATCTTGCTGCGAAACATTCAACTCTATATCAGGGACACGAAATTTGGAAGATATTTGTGAAATCCCATCAACTAGAGTCTAATGACAATATTCCTTTTGCTTTGTGAAAATTGGTGGCCTATTTTTTTTCAATAAATTGGTTCAATTACAATGTTGGATTAAAGGGAGATCATCCTCTGAAATATTTAAGGCCTGATTGATGACATTTTATGTAAGAAAACCTGAAAATAAGAAAAGAAAAAAAATCTGATTAAATTTAAAAATATCTGGTTTAAAAAGCACATGATTTTTTGCCCTAGTTTTAAGTATTTTCTATCTTTTTCTCATGTTTTTTAAAAAATAAATACACATGTATATGAGAGGCACTCTGGAAATGTAGGTGCAAAAGAGAGGCAATTTATTCTTGCCTTTATATATTTTGAAAGTTCTCTCCCGCTTTGTTGAAACATTGGGCTCTCCTCTGAAACCATTTCTGAAATGATGTACCTCATTGCTCTTTCAGACATTCTGGTAGAAATGCTTTATAGGCTACTACTGCATGTTCTGAGATCGCAAACCGGCATCCTCGGATGGTTTCTTTAGATTCTGGAAACAAGAAATGGTGGGTGGTCAGGACGAGTGTAGAGGGGATGCTCCAGAAATTGGACACAATTCTCTAATAAAAAAATATTTGTTTTTTTGAGCTGTGCACATTGTCATGATGGAAAAGCAGAAAATGCAGACCTCTCTGTGGTTTTTCCCTTCTGAATGATCTCAATAATTTTAGGAAGACCAATAGGTGTACCAGTGTGCTGTCTGTGACCTCTGACCCTCCAATGCAACAGTTTCTATAAGATCAGCAGAAAAGATTGAAGAAGTGAGAGCGTAGTCTTCCGCAACTGGAGTCAGTACTTACTTGGCTGTCTGGGAGACGCTGTGTCCAGGGCACAGGTGCCAACGTTTCAGTCACCATTCTGCGACCTTCATCATCTAAGATTGAACAAACCATTTGCTTTCTAAAGCTTTGCAATCTTTTGATCTTTGATGGTGCAGTCTCTTCAAAGAAGATCAAAATTATTGATTGCTGCTTTGTTACAGCAGGGGTGTCCTGAAGGCCTTGCAAGGCCTCAAGGACCACAACTGTAGCCTTTAATTTGGTTGTAGGCTATATTTTCATTGCTCAGGTGATCCACACATGACTTCTCCATATTGTTGATCTTGGCACTTTGCTGGGCTGCTCTAAAATGGGGGTTAGAACCATGCGTGGTATCTGGTCATACCATGCATAACACAGTGGTGCTTTTGAATTTCTGAATTTCCTAGAACAAGAAATTCCGTAAATGTAAATCTAACCTACTTTTAATGGTGTTGGTGGTAAGGTGTTGACTATAACAGTCGACATGTGCTAAGTGCACAATGTTCTTGCCTGACATGGATGAAAGGGATTTTCACTTTTGACTAATAACCACTCACGGGCTACAATAAATTGCTTCCCAGGCTGCCAGTTGGTCAACCCTGAGCTGGAGGGTCAAACTGGTATATCCACAATTCTTTGCCAGTTATAATGTCAATAATTCCGTTGTCCTTTAAATCTTTTCAACTTCTTTTACACCAGAACACACAACAATTTTTTTTAATCCGGAGTCAAACGATGTGGGATCTACCCAATGCAGGCTCTCTGTGCTGATAAGTACAGAATGGGTCATCCTGTTGCATGATATGTTTTCTTCCGTTATGGTAAGGACAACAATGCCTCCCACCACTTGATTGTGATAAGGAAGAATCATAAAAAGCGTGTATCAAACAATCAAGGCATTCTTTAGCACTCAGAATGACTCTAAAATCACGTAAAATCATTGCATGAAAGTAATCTCTGGTAAGCTCCATGGAAAACTGAAAGAAAGTTGCAACTGACCGAACAGGTCAAGTCGTAGTTGTACAACAATTTTTCTAGTAAGTAACGCCAAGATTCCCTTTACAAATCCCTTTACAAACCATTGTTAGCCACATGCCGTAAAAACAATCTCTTTCTTTCCATTCTGGAAATGTTTGAAGTGACCCGTTTTGTGTACATGTTTTGCTTTTTGTAATACAATAAATTCTGTGCCCTATTATATACAATGAAACCATAATGACGCAAAAGTCCTAGAAAAGTGTTCATTTTTAGTTCTGAGGAGAACGTGTCTAGATTCAACTTTCATCCTCACAACTGGTTTGACTAATGTCATTTGAAACATACTGTTTTTTATTGGACTTCAGAGGAATTGGAGCAAGGGGAACACAAATCAGACACCAACCTCTCTGAACAACCTCAGGAACACTGATCCTCTCAGACCTTTGCTGAAATCCTTTGATCAATATATAGCTATCACATTTGAATACAGGAAATGTAGAGAGATGGCAGTTTTGATAATGTAATATAGAAATGTAGACAGTTGATAGAAGTTATCTAGTTGGAAAATAATAAAGCATTTAGTCACACCAAAGTGTTATGAAGTGAAAAAATGAAAGGCTGTAGATATCTGGGAAAAATATTGTGTATTATATATGCACACAAAAACAGTTCACCACTTCATCAGTTCATTGAATTCAACTTCTGTTGATTGATATATTGATTTTTTAAAATTTTCAGTCTTGTGTCTTTTCTTATGTTTGTCAACTTTAGTCTCATTTTGCTTTGTGTTCTGTTTTGTAGTTCACTTAAAATATGTCATTTGTTTTCTTTTTTATATTTTTAACTTGTTCATTTATCACTTCACTACAAATTACTTAAGAATAGTTATCAAGATGGGGAGTGCATTATAAAGAGATCATTTTGAACAAGACTAGATCAGAATGGTGTATACATTCTGTTGTCAAATTAAATTTGAAATGAAATTCAAGCTTGTACTTAATGAAAATTCAGTAAAAACAAATTGTGGCACAAGCTAGATATTAAGATTTTAGTGGCTTGTGGCAACAATCAGCCATTGGCCCCTTTTTCTCTGTTGCTTTGACCCTTCAAATCTATATCATATCCAAGTTTCTGAAATGGCGAGGTCAGAGGCCAACAAGGTTAAGTCAGCAAAAAGGAAACAAAATATATAGGCAAATTGTTGTGAAGTAGAAGCCCAGAAGAAAAATATATATTGTAAAGAAATTAATCATTTATTTGCTAAAAGTAACTTCCCTTGAAGTTGAAGTAATTAAAGGTTCATAAGACAGAGGAGTTACAATCAGTAATATTTATCAGTATTGTGATCATATTATTTCTTCAGGTGGACCCAAACGTTACATAGGTCCAAGACGATCTCTAGCTGCGCCGCAAAATGAATCTCAAAGGGGTGAGTGCTTGTATCTTTCCCAAGTATGTTGCCATTGTTTAAATGCCAGGAATATTAAAATGCAATATAAGAGTAATATTTAAATTTCTACACATTTTTATTGGATAATAATTTTATGGCAATAAATGTTAGTGTTGAATATGGATATGGGAAATTTTGTCGCACCCACATATGACTGCACTCTTCATAAAACTAGGGAAGTCATTTCTGCTATTATTTAAAGAGCCTGCATTAGTGCTCTCATTAATACATGGTTTACTTTCTGACACCTAAATTTTTAAAATTGAATTTCTTTTACTTTATTAAAAATTGATTTATTTTAAATTTTATTTTAAATTGTTTCTTTTGAAGATGTCAAATATCTTGCTTCAGAACTGGCCCTCTTTATCTTCTTTCAATTCCTTTGATTCCAAAGGATGAGTAATCTATAATTTCCAAATGTGTAGAAAATGGAGGGAAGGAAACATTTTTAAATCTCTTTGGAAAACATTTGACGTGCAATTGGTATCCTCCCATATCTAAAGAAAGTGTCCCAATCAAAACTTCAGTGCTTGAAATTTTAAAAAATTGATGCTTTCTTTTAAAGATTTTTTTCTGGTGCCAGGAATGTGAATTCCAGAAGTGGTAGTTAGGCAAACTGATCATAAAGGACAGAAGGCATAGTACAGAACAGTCACTCACACAGTCTCTCAGGTGTTACAAAAATTACTTTCCTAAAAATCTTTGGATCATATTTTTGCTCAATTGTGAAAGCTTATATATTATTGCTTTGAAGTAACATACTTAAGCAATGTTCTTTCCAAAGATCAGTCAATTCTTTAAATAAATATAAAATAAACATGAATCAAATTTTGGTTCTGTAAATGTCATTATCAAAATAAAGAGTTAGCCAGTTAGTGAGATATTTGGTTCAATAAATGAAAATTATTTGTTTGTTGAGCTAATGGACAAAAATAAAATGTCATTGGACTTGAAGAGAATGTTCCAGGTGCCAAGACAGGTGTTCCTTTGCCTGTTATTTCAAGTGTACAGTCTCTAGCAGGTGATGACCAGAACAAAGCTGGAATAACTACAAGATCAGCTGCTGCTTTGAAAGTAAGGAAATTTGAAATTTTTAAAATTCTCATTCCATTGGTTTTGTATATTTAAATTGTGGTTTAAAATTATCTCTTTATATATTGAATAAAATAAACGTGATATTGGGTAAGTAATTGTTCTGTGGCATAGTTGTTTTGCCCTATGAAATATTACTCTACTTTGCCGTCTATCTAAATCATGATAAAACAAAACAAAAAATAATAATAATTACAAGGCTTCCTTGTTGTGTCTGTGATCAGTTATAATGTTACAGATGTTATAGCCTTTTTAATGTTGCATTTTTTGTTCTCCAAGAAACGAAAACAATTGAGTTGTTAACCCGCGAGTCAATAAACTGGCTCCAGTGAATTTTTGCCTGGTGTTGCACTTTTGAGAACTACTTTAGAAAATAATGCTACAACAGCACATACTTTCTCGTGTGACTGGAAAGAGTTACAAAATATTAAAATATCATAATTTCTACCATATTAAAAACTTGGTAATAACTTCAAAAAGTTTAATTCAAACAAATCGCATGTTGTGTTTATCTGCATTTATTTCTGTGTGTGTGTGTGTGTATAATTATTTATAAGCATTTTGCATGCTGCAAAACAGTGCACTTACTTTCTCTCTTTAAAGTTACTGTACTTTGAGTTGAAACATGTTTTCTAAGGTTCACGTGATGTATAAGTGTACACCATAAGTATAGTTGTGACAGTTGCACTGTGAAGGAGAGAGGCTTCAGTTGTCAGCCTACAATTTGACCATTGGGTTGCTTCTCTGAAGGTGTCTCCTGGGGGAATTCCCTCTCTCCCAACTCTCTGAGCATGACATGGTTGGGGCATGGCTTCTATTCATGCATCTCTCTGCCCCTCGTTGAAGTTGTGCACATCATTTTTAAAACATTCTCGTAATTTTATTGTATTTGATCTGGGCTGAGAAAACTTGGCTATTTTCTCAAGTACACTTCAAAAAGTTATAAGGAAATGTTTATGAAATTTCACTCAATTCTATGATTAAGTTCTATCTTACTTCTACTACTAGTAGAAGATACTTGTGCTGCAATCTGTGAGCAAATGGCAACTGTAAAACATCATGAGTGTAGGTGAAGAGATGGCTTATTGATTAGTTAGAGTAACTTTGACATCAATTTACTCGACTGATATGTTAATGAGAACCTTGTTATTACAAAGAGATCTGCGGGAATGCATGCCCACATATTTATAGAAGTGGAGAAGGCATATATATTTATATTTTAATGGCCCTTAATACAATGCAATGCTTTCTATCTAAACAGTAAAAACAGTTTTGCAAGTATTTATTTAATAAAATTAATAGGTGATACCCTTTACATAGTAATAATACCAATTCAAAAAGAATTTACAGTGTAAAGCATACGAAGATGCATATAAATTATCAAAAATATCTCATAGGTGGAAAGTAGTACAAACAGAATCTCAAAAGAATTAAAATAAATGTAAATACAAGCTTACAGATTTTACATAATTATAACTAATTAAGATGTCTGTTCAAAAAACCTTGAAAGGCATTATTTCCAGTGTCATAGTTGCCGCCCAATTGCCAAACCACAAATGCGATTCATCATCTCATTTGCACAATAGTTACTTGCGAAAGTGTTAACTAAAAAGGAAGTTGTAAAGATTCACTGTAGTACTCTAAACGGTATGCAAGGAAGAATGTCTGCATAGTCTATTCTATCCAACAAAATATCACATAGGAAATAAATATCAGCATGATTTCATCTACAATAAAGAATATTTAATTTAGATCTTAGGAGAATGACATCATAGTCATGATTGTCAGGGCAATTCTATGGGTAAAAACCTGTAGGAACTTGTGTTGAACTCTTTCAATGGCTGATATTCTCAATTTTGTATATGGGTTCCAAACAGGTGACGCATATTCAAGAATATTTCTAACAAGTTCTCGATAGAGAACAAAAAGGGTCACAGCAGATCGAAACTGCATAGAGTTCCACAAGACCATACCTCATCCCCCTAATATGCAGTGCCTTAGAAATAACACCCTAAATATGATTCCCAAAACTCAGCTTGCAATCAAACGTGACACGCAGCTTGAGTAGCTACTCAATTGCAGGAATTTGTAATTTGCCCTCAATGAAAAAAAGTAGAAAAAGTAATTTGTGATTTCATTTGTATATATTGTTCAGCCGCTTTTCTCTTCTCATAAATACAAGCAATGAGCCACCTAGAATACCTTACAGGAAATGTGGGGGGACCAGCACAAAGGTGAGGTACATACCTGTTAATGATTTAATATAAAACATCGTAAAACAGATCAACATTGACATTAATCTCATCACACAAAAAGACTTCCCAATCAACAGAGTTTAGTGCACCGACAATCAAAGCATAGTCACCCTTGTAAAAGTCATAAAAAGGAAGAGAAATCTGTCTTCTCCTAGGTTGATACATAATGCAAGACTGATTAACAACCAGCTGAGGATGATACATATTCCAGGCAATGAGAGAGATCAATGGATTGCACAATATCAACAATATCACTGTTAGAAAATATAAAGTCCAATAAGTTACCTTTTTTTGGTACAACATTCACCATCAGTAAATCTTCAGCAATAAAGAGAGCTGAATTCATAATATGTGAGGGAACTGATGTAGAATAAATGGAAGCAGGGTCTTCCCCTGTCAGTATGGACTAGTCAAAACCAGGTAGGCGAAATCACACGTGAGAAGGAATTTTGAATACGGAAACTATTTCTAAGATGTCTTGAATGTCATGTCCATAAATCTTATACTCGAATGTTCATGTATTTGTGGAAAGTACACTGCTCTAATGATAAGGTTGAAATCATCCAGAGTGACATGAATTATTGGATGTTCAATCAGATTTGATCTTCTCAGTTTATCTGACAGAAATATTTTATCACCTATGCTTCACACTTTAAAAATATCATATTCTTTCACATTTGTATCTTAAAAGTTATTCAAAAATTAAGCTCTTCAGTGTAGAGAAAGTAATTATTCGGAAATGTTCACAATTTCTTCCTTCTCTCCTCTTCCTTCCGTTTCACAGATAGATACTTTCCTAGTCGATTGTTTTCAGTTAATATCATAACAACTAATATGTAAGATTATTTATTATGTTGTATTGAAGTAATAAAAATTTCTACAAACCAGTGGCATGGGATACAATTTTGTAAAACACAAATGTTCTATATTGAGGCTTAAAACATTGTTTGCAGGTGAGAAGTCATAATTCCTTTGCTAATATGCTTCTGACAAGATCTCACTCTTAAATGATGGCCCATTTTTGCCCTAATATGAATAATTATCCTTAAATGGTTATGAATAATAAAGTTATTTCATGATTTTCTTTCACAGCAAGTAAATAATAATGTGCCACAAAATGCAGTTCAACCATCAAAGGTGGTTCGACAGATTATAGTTCGTCCTCCAGCACCAAAACCTATGCGTAATAAAGCAATAACATGTAGACCAACTTCCCACACAAAAGGAACACACTGTCGACCTATTATATGCACAAAAGAAACTCAAACAGGTGAGTTGCCAAATTGGATATCTCTCTTTATAGGAGGATCCCTCTGAAATTGCAGGATGGGGGCAGCAAGGTTTTAGTTTTTACTTTGAGTATAATACTTTCATGCAGTTTGTGGTGTACCATCATGTAGCAACCACATTTTCATTTGTTCAGAAGATGATCATTAGCTAAGAGAAGAAAGTAAATCACTTGATTTTCTCATATTTTTGGAGAATTTTCTCATGGAGAGGTCTAAACTGATATTTGCTGTTCCCATGTTGTTCTCATGTAGCTGGCTTTTAATAGCCATAACAATTTTTTGAAGGATTCCTTGTCTAAACCAATTTTTACCTTTGCAATTTATCTGCTTTCTAAAGTCAATTATGGGTGTTATCAAATCCCAATCTTTGAGACATTTGGGAGAGATAAAAATGAATATAAACAGTGGATTTTAAATGAATGGTTTAAATATATTTGTTATATATTTTAAATAATATAATAAATAAGATATATACATATAAATAATATGAAGAATAACTTCACTATCTTGCTCCCATTTTTGATAAATACTGCTTCAGAGGAATTTTGATAAATAGAGCTTGCAGAGTTTGTAAAAGTCTTTTTGATTGGGATAATCAAATATTGATGGTATCAAAAGCAACTATCACAGTTCAAGACAAGAAGTTTCAGATAAGAAGGGGAAAATATTAGTGACTATACCTTGAGTCGTTTCAGACCCATGCAACAAAAAAATTAGTATCTTGATAACAAATGGGAGGCAATATGTGGAAATGGTAATGTGTGTGATACATTAATCCTCACCTAGTGGGAAATAAATACTAATGTTAACTTTAGATCAATGCAAACTTTCTTCTGAATCTGAGGGTATTACAAAACTGCTGTCACTATTGGTAACTCCTTATTGATTCTTAAAACATACAACGATCTTGGTAATGCACTGTGTAATGTAAGATGATGGAATTTTATTTCCAGGTCTCAAAGACTAATGCATTCTCTGGTTTTGTTATTTTCTATTTATTTTATATAACCAGTATTACTGAGTATGAATGTAAATAATGAAAGTGGTATTATTTAAACACAGATAATCAAGATTAAATAATTAATTATTTCAGAGACTCACTGTCAACCAGGGCAACCTATTTTAATTCCAGTACCAGTTCCAATATATGTACCCACTCCAATGTGCATGTACAGCTCTCCTTTTCCTGTACCTGTTCCTTTTCCTTTGCCTGTTCCTGTTCCCATATTCATACCTACTACAAGAAGTTCTGCAAAGGGTATTCTGAAGGAAATCAAGGTAAATTAATTTAATGTAAATGTAATTATTTTTTTCCCATTATGTTATTGTTGAAAAGTATATAAATCATTCATTGTTTAATAGCGCATACAAGAAAAGACGCCAGCTGATCCTTTTGAAGCTGAGTTATTGATGATGGCAGAAATTGTAGCTGGAGAGAAAAAAGAAGATAATTCTGACTCGGATAGTGATGCAGTGGATAACACAGATGCAGCTAGTGGAGCTGGAGCAGATGTTGAAGAAGGCCCTAAAGGTGAGAAATTATGTGTAGATCGAGAATTCTTTCTTCTTCATCTTCTTTTTCTTATTCTCTTTCCTAATCTACCTCCCCCTTTTCTCTCCGCTCATCTCCTTTTTGTTTCCTTCTTCCCATACTTAATTTTCTTTTCCATCTTTACCTTCTTTCTGTTGTTTTCTCACTTCTTTTTCCTTGCATTCTCCAAGTTTTCTTTTGTTTCTTCTTTGCTTATACATTTTATTGTTTTCCTCAAATCCAAGCATTAGTGACCCTGTACATGTCGCTATATTTGAGTTTTGTTGGTTATTTATGAAGGTTCTCCTTGTCCATACATGATACATGCACATAGTGGGCAGGTGTGCTTGCTGCCTATGTACAGACAATGGTGGACAATGTGTTGACCATGGTGGATAATGGCCACTCCTATGTTGAGTATGGTTGTTGTGAGAAAAATGCAAGAAAATGCAATCCTTTCTGGTATGATTCATGTAGCTTTTGGGGGGGGGCATGTCTTTTATTGTTAATTAAGTTGAGAACTTGGAATTCCAATAGATATTTTGGCATGAAAAATGTATCAAAAACATCAAAAGGATCACATATGTAATTCAGTGAATTTAAACACGGGAAAAAATTGAATCTTATTTCTGAACTATTGTCAGAACAACACTAACTTTCAACACCTATTAGAGTCTGAATATCTTGATGTCATATCTGTGCTTGCCTCATGGAAATAATGCTTTGGATTATATTGGTATATAAGTGAGACAATTTTTTTGAATAAGTTGATTAAAATTACAAAAAAACTGACTTGACGTGGGGCCTGGCCCTCATTCTCCCTTCCTGGGATCTGTGCTGTTCAGAAATGTGCCAGGGTGTGTGCTATTCAGTATTCTGTTTTGCCTACCATAAACATTTCTTCACAAGCCACCACTGCAATATATGCATCATAAAGTGTAGGTGAAAATTAGCCATCACATGCATTTTCCAAAGGATCATTCTTTCCGACTACAGGAGAAAAATATGCATTTGCATTAAAATCCAGTCCCTCGCCTGGAGACCGAACACCCAAGTTTAGTGCAACTCATTGTTCATTGAAGTTTCACCTTAAACTATAAGAAATCCAAAGACTAGTACGATAACGTGTAGATATCCAGTGGAATTCATGTGTTTCAGAACTAAAAATAAACTTAATATCCATTAGGGAGTTGTTATTATTTTGGCAAAGTTAAAATTTTGTCACGCAACCCCCCCTCCTCAAATGACTATGTTAAAAAAAAATTAAAAAAGGAGAGACAGAGATTCTCAAAATGTTGAACTTCTTGAACAGTATTGCCTGAGCAAGTGGAATTATTATTTTTATTACTATTTTAAATGGGTATTTTTGATTCAACCCCTAAGTAGTAATGTTTTGGAATAAAAATGCTGTGTACACATCTCTTTGAAATTCAATATTCACTAAACTTCAGTGAATATAATTTTTTAATAAACTGAGATGGTTCATCAATCAATAAATGTGTTTTGTTATCAATCAATAAATGTTTTAGTTAGACTGGTGCCAACGTCTTTCGTTGACTAAAGAAATAAATTTGTTACATTGCTTTTGTGTATTTCTGAATTTATTAATGCTTCATTGTTTACACTGGCTTCCAGACTGATTAATTTACACTTTGTGGAATACAATACTTTATTTATTTATTTATTTATAATCTGTCGAACTTTTGTACATAAACAAATACAGAATAGAGAAATAAAAATTAAGAATAATATGTCGTGTGAATATCGCGATAACAATACAAATATTGTAATGATTCATAACGTAAAATACAAATTCGCAATTCAGTAAAAAAAATTCTGTCGACTCCAATTGTCGCAACCTGACTTGTTTACCATCCTAGTCATTCTAGTGATAGGGTTATTTGCAGTATACATATTTCTACAGGTCACCATGGAAGAAGTATCGTTATATCTAGAGTGAACTGCAGAGACTCTAAAATTCCATTCTTTGAGTATCAGTGGGCAATCAATTCAACCGTTTACTAACTTAAACACAAACAAGACATCATTAAAGTTACAAAGAGATGAAATAGGGAGCAATTTTAGGGTGAAAGATATGAGACAATAATCATGATCAATATAAGGGTCGTGAATGCTTAAATGTGTTGCAGCAATTTTGAAGAACTTGTGATGGACAGATTCAATTTTAGCAGAATGAATGTGAAAACACTGAGACCAGACCACACATGCAAACATTAAAATAGGTTTAACAAGCATTGTGTATAACGTTTTTAAAATGTTTACCGCGTTGAGTTCAGCACGTGTTCTTTATGATTGGCCGAATTGAAGGCCTTACATTGTACATACACTGTCTTCCTGGTGTTTATTTTCTAAGGCGTAAAGAATGTACTGGGTAAACGAGGGTTGCCTTTAATATTTCAGGATTAGAGAACAAAAACAAATATTAATCATCGAAAATACTTTTATGTTTTACAAAATTTCCCATGAAGATCTCTACACTTTTTGGCGTGGTTTGAACCCAATTGTCGAAGCACTTTTTGCCACTCGATTGAGGTATCATCCCAAAACATGCATTATGAATGCCGCAACCGCTTCTTCCAGGTGACGAAAAAAGTGTGACCTCTCAGTTTGTTTTTAGCGTACGGGAAAAAAGAAGTCATTCGGGTGCCAAAGTCAGGACTATACGGCGGATTAACTCATCAATCGATGTTTTGGTGCTAAAAAATGCGTTGTGTGAGGCTTCGCATTTTGTGGTAAGAGTGATCTCGTTCGGCGGTTGTATTTCCTGATTTCTTGGAAAGACAGGCTGGGCAAACAAATCGTTGTGTAACTCAGAATTTGACTGTTCTGCGGTTTGTTGCTTGTGGTACGGTTTTGCGAAAATGTCCAGTGTTTCTGAGAGAACAGGCAACCATCTGTTGGAAGTGCTTCGTGCGCGAACTACTTTGTTGGAATTTTGCTCATCTTGAAAACACCCATACAGTCGACACTGCTGTTTACTTTCGGGCTCATATGCGTAATCCACGATTCATCACCTGTCACGATGTCATAGACGTGTTTCGAAGCACCGCGATCGTATTTTTTGAGCATTTCTTTCGCCAATCACACGAGCCTTTTTTGATCGTTGACAAATTGTTGGGTTCCAACCGAACAATTTTTTTTGAGCAGTCAAATGTTCATGCAATAATTGAATGTTGCTGATCCCAACTAATGATGCCTAAGGTTTCTCACGCCCTCTCACGATAGGTCCACATGCGATCTTTGCCATAATCAGTTCACGCACAGCACAATAGTTTTCGAACGACAACTAATTTTGGACGACCTTCGCGAAATTCGTCCTTGGAGAACTACGACCACGTTTGAATTCACCATACCACGATCGATAAATCACTGGGTCCTTGATGAGCTTCATCCGCCAAAATATGAATAATGTTTCATCCATGGCTCTGTTGCTGAGTTAATCCACGCCGGAAAGTTGTACAAAATATTCGCACGAAAATGTTCACGATTTAATTCCATTTTTGGGCCAAGATGAATCTTTTAAGTTACTGTAAACAACACAAATAGCATGTCGTATGTCAAAACGTTCTGAGTACGTATAACCTCAAAACATCCAACTTTACGATAGAACAGTCAGTTTCCAGATTGCAACACCAGGGTTGCCAAATCCCAAAACATAAAAGGCAACCTTCGTAGTACACCAGATTTGACTCTCTATATCTTCTTCTCATAAAAGCAAATTGCCTATTAGTGAGGTAGGGAAATATTTTACACTTCATTTTATCAGTAACTATAGATTTAAAGAGTTTTGGAATTACACTCAAAATAAATAGATGTCCATAGTCTATTCTAAAGCTTTTATCACTGGATTTTAAAATGGGAATGAAAAAGGAGAATTTCCACTCAGAGGGGAAACAACCTTCAGCCAAAGACTTGTCAAAAACAATTTTAAAAATGTAAGAAATAATAAAGCTTGTGTTGCATAAAAAAAATTGGAGGTATCCCATGCTTATTTTATCAAAAATGTTAGAAATAGATACGTCAACTAAAGCGATAACAAATGGTATTTGATCATCCAAAGTAACATCAAACTCACTAACGGGAGCTCTATGAATAGATGAAAAATATTCTGCAAAGGCAGTAACAATCAATGTAATATCATCAAATGAATTAGTTCCAAAGTACATTTCTTTAGATTGACTATTGGTGTTCTTTTTTGAATGTAAATATTTCCAAAAATTATGAAAGTGATTAAGAGTGATAAAGTTTTGTAAATTCTTGTTGTAATTGTTAAATTCCCTCTTAGCCAATATTTTGCATATATACATCTAAAATTTGTAAACAGCAAAAAATATAGTGGAGAATTACAACGCTTGTAACTTAGGCATAAAATTAATGACATGGTGTACACTATACACTATTGTTGTCCTTCAGATTGCCAGTAATTTCAATTTTGGGAATTGAATTATCAAATGTGATAGTGAGTTAGATGAAATTCTAGAGTAAAGATACATTAAATAACAAAACAATCTAAATGGAAATATCAAATATTGTGACAGTGATATCAACGCAACATCTTACAGGTTAAACGGATTTTTTTTTATTTATTTATTTATTTATTCTAAGGCCTAACTTTTTCACTTTTCGTGATTTTGACCGGTAATTTATTTTATACATCAAATGCAATATCAACAATTTCCATTGGCAGATAAGAGCAATTGATGTAATGGGTAGAACACATTAACTCAGAATTTATTAAAATGTTTTTGATAATTCAATAATGATCCGTGATAATAGTTGTTGAGTAAATGGGATCTAGCATCTCCTCAGTTTTAAATATTTCATTTAGATATTCTATTTTTGAATAGTCTGTCCAGGTCTCTGTGTAAAACGTTACTAAGCTACATTAATTATTAACATGGCAAATTCAGACATGTTATAACAATTAGGTACAAAAGAGGATGGTTTCAGCTATATAATGAAATAAAAAACTTCATGGAATTATAATTTTGTTTATTATAATTTCAGACAGCAGTAAATAGTGATATTCCCTTGTAATATACAAACAGTTTTTAAAATTGCGTGGAACAAAGTCAAATAAATTTACAATGCTGTACAAAATAACATTATATTAATTATATATTGTGGGGCAAGTTGTTATTGTACAAAATGAACAAAAGTGGGCCACGTACAGAGTCTTTAAAGACTCCACTGATAACTGTAATTCTAGGCTATTTTCTGTTTCCAATTCCAGACGTATGTCTTGAAGAAAAGATTACAAAGAAAAGATACAAAATATTAATGGAAGATTACTGTCAAGCCCAAAGCGCTCAACGCTCCCGAGGGGCTTGAAGATGCCCGCTTCCCCCCTCATGAGTTTCCCCGGTGTGCAGGTTAGCTCGAAGGGACCTGTTTTGGCGGGGTCGGCCATGGCTCTGAGACGAAATTGCAAAAGTTACCCCTTTCGTGCTTTAATAGTTTCTAGGCGAATGCCGGTACGGCTTCGTCCCTTCGTAGGCGAGCAGTAGACCCGAGTTGCGTAATTCTAGACGCAACAAATTAAAAAAATAAAAAATAAACTGCAACCCCCACCACCACCACCACCACCACCAAATGACCACCTGCACAATTACGCAACTACGCGCGCCGCAAGAGCGATCCACACACACGCAACAGCATGTCAGGGGTACTTTGATGTCCGATACGTGAACTATTCTCGCCCACAACTCATCGACTGAGTCCACTGGAAAAGCGTACACAGTGCTTTTCAAGTGTCCCCAGAATAAACGTCAAGGATAGAGATTCAGCGAGCGCGGGGGCCACACCTGGGGCCTACCTATCCATCGCTGTCCATATTGTTCTTAGGTGGTTGCGTACGGCGCGCGCGAAATGGACCGGCGCTCAATCGTGCATCTTTGCACACGCGTGGTAAGATCTACAAGTTTAAGTAAGCCAGGAAGGTCTTGTAGAAAGCACCAGACCGTCCTCCCATCCAATCGGTCGGGAGAAACCAGTGGCTCTTTAAGATGATCTCCGAAGATGCCAGCCCAAACATTTACAGAAAACTTGCGGGCGTGTGTAGGTTGTGGAAATTCTCAATACCATTGCGGGAAAACCTGCTTCGTTACTAAACATAATACACTCCACGATTAAACGATTAACCGCATTGCCTGTGCGCGCGCGCACGCTCCATAACCAACTGGGCGTCCATCTCTTTTGCTAGCTGTCGCATAGTCTGTTACTGAATCATAGACTCGCGTCTCTCTTCTGTGTGGTCTGTCAGGTCTTCCTTTCCCTTATTCTGTCTGCCGCGTTGGTAGAGCGTGTCGTTCTGCCACTAGGAGCTCGATTGGACTCTTGCCTGTCACTGCACAGTAAGCGCGAACAATCCTAAGTACATTTCTACTGTACACAGAGGCTATCTTCTTCCTTTTCGACGCCTTATTTATTGCTACTTCCCCATACTTTAGCCGCATATACGAAATAATAGGATCGAAGTGGTGACATTTGACTGCAGCCATCTCGGTCCTCCAACAATCAGCAGTAGTCTCGACAAGGCCATCGTCGCTTTTGCCGCCTAATTACTGATTTATTGTAGATGATCGCTAAAACGTACCTCACGTCACTCATAATTCCTAAGTTTTTGAGATACTGACCCTTGTTTTCTCCCACTGAAATGATAATGGATTTTCTCACCTTTCTACTTGTGACGGGAATTGTCTCAATTCAGTGGTCCGCTAATTGCAAGCTAACAGAGGTTAAACGTTGGTAAACTAAGGATATGGCTTCATTGGCGATTTTCACTATTTCCTCTAAAGGTTTGACCACAATAGCGGTTGCCACGTCGTCCGCAAAACTGATGATATCAGCACCTTCAGGCATCTCTATTCTGAGAACGCCGTTGTACGAAGTGTGTTCGAAAAGAAACGGGAATTTCGTTATTGGGTGGTATTTGTCTCGGTCGCGCGATTGTTTTTTTTATTGTTAGTAAACAGGTCTGAAATGCATCTGCATACTGGTTCCAATGTTGGATGGTTAGTCTATTGTTATTTGCGAAGATTATGTGTGTTTGCTTATGAGTGACGATTTTTGGTTAGTTGAAAAAAATGGATCAGAGAATTTGCATTAAATTTTGCTATAAAAACGGAATAAAATGTAACAAAGTTCTAGAAATGTTGAAAATTATATTTGGTGAGTCTGCTATGACGGTTTGTGAGTGGTAAAAGCGATTCTAAGATGGCCGTGAAGACGTGGAAGACAACGAGCGTTCTGGACGCCCCAACACATCAACAAGAGCTGAAAATGTGGAAAAGGCGCAAGAAATAATTATGAATGATCACCGAATTACAGTCAGGGAAGTTGCTGAATATGTTGGCATATCAATTGACTCATGTCATGAAATCTTTTCGGATGTTTTGGGTTTGAAAGTGTGACAGCAAAATTTGTGCCAAGGTGTTGAATTTCGAACAAAAAGAGCGGCGAATGGAAGTTGCTCAGGTGTCGCTAAAAGAAGTCAACAATGATGCAGAACTACTAAGACGTGTAATAACAGGTGACGAGACATGGGTGTACGGCTACGATGTCAAAACTTAAGGTTCTGTTGAGGCATCCTGGATCGCCAAGACCGAAAAAAGCTCGGCAGGTGCGGTCGAATGTGAAGGTTATGCTTACAGTTTTCTTCTATTTTAACGGCATAGTGCATTATGAGTTCTTGCCAAAAGATCAAATGAGTAATAAAGAGTACTGCCTACAAGTTCAACGCGTTGACGGAAAGCAATCCGAAAAAACGCCCGGATTTATGGCAAAACCATTCATGGCTTCTGCATCACGATAACTCACCTGCTAACACATCATTACTTGTATGTGCATTTTTGGAGAGAAACAACACTGTAATGATGCCACAGCCTCCATATTCGTCAGATATGCTTTTGTGCGACTATTTTCTTTTCCTAAAAAGAACCTTGAAGGGCCGTCAGTTTTCAAGCACAGATGAGATTAAAAGCGCTTCGCTGAAAGAGCTACATGCTATCCCAAAGATGGAGTTCCAGAAGTGTTGCGGAAAATGGAAGAAGCCCTGGCATAAGTGTTTAATATCAAATGGTGACTACTTTGAAGGCGATAACATTGATGTTGACAAATAAATAACATTGATTCATAAAAATGAAAATTCCCGTTTCTTTTTTAACACACCCCGTACATTATGTTCCACTGCATGTGGCTCAAGACGGATCCCTGAACCGGGAGAGGAGGCCCAGGGCATCAACTGGTGTCACTGCAGATTATAAGTTCGAGTCCCGACGGTGGCAGAATTTTCGTCATAGCTTAGTCGAATTTAGTCTCTGTCGAGAGGACTAGCGTCCGTCTACACACAGTGCGGTAGCGGTAGTTCTCCGTGATTTCTCCGATCAGCACCGGGCGAATGCTGGAACAGCCGTAACAAATCGGCCAAGAACCGCACGCGAACATCCCTAATCCTTGTTCTATCCTCACCCTTACTTACTTACACACACAGACACACACACACACAGACACACACACACAGACACACACACACACACACACTTACACACTTGGATGCACTACACTACCACACACGCCAGGAGATCGATCGGGAATTTAGAGCTTGTCCCCGGCTGGGGTGGTGCCCCGCTGGTGGGAGGTACCTGTTTAGGAAAAACCGGCTAGCCGACGGGAAGGTCAGCAGCAGATCTCACAATGCACCGGTTGAAGATCACCGCCACCTCTCGAAGAAAGAACATGCACTACTTAAATAATAATGATGATAATAATAATAATAAAAATAAAAACGGGACTAATGACGCCTCCAGAACCTTGAGTCAATCATAGAGCCCTGTGGAACGCCTTTGGAAACAATGAGTCCGTTCACCATCCTCCTCGTCAATCATGCAAATAGGCCGGTGGGGCGATGCTTCCTCTACTGGACTTTTCCCCTTAGAGAGTAGTACTAGCCGCTGCATCTTCCATTTATCGGGGAACACGCCCTCTCGAAGGCACGCTTTGTATACATTACTAAAACGGCTGGGGCAAGGACTAATTGCTGCTTTGAGGGTGCGTGTGTATGTAATGCCCTTTCTGTAACTCTGCAATGCAGGCCTACTGAACCCTGCAAATTATATGATCAGAGGAATTAACCTAAAGCATGAAGTGAGCAGAACAAATTTCCCCATGTGTGCAGGATATAATATATGAAAGAGCTCTATAAATGAGGTTTCATTTATTGAAGTTTTTGTCAGGAATGTTTGAATGAACCCTTAACTGTTTGGATTTTCTTTACATGAATAGTTTGTATTTTTTATTGAAAGTAAGCTTAGTGTGTAAGAACATTTTCAGCATAATCTTGTTACGGATTTGTCTTTTAATTCCAGCTGCAACCACTGATGGAAGGTATTCACCTGAGACAGTTGATTCTAGCAACACATTTGGTGATGATATGTTACAAATGGCATTAAAAATGGCCACTGAACTGGAAGAACCTACAGATCTGGAAGCAGCACTTACACCAACAACAATTACTTCTCAACCTGCAACTAATGTTGAGCAAACTAATTGTAAGTGAATCATTTTTTAAATTTATTTGATAAAAATGATTTAATAATACAGATATATTTACACTAGTGGCATGTAGCAGGAAATGGTGCTCATTTATTAAGCAGCATATTTTTTTTATAAAACAATTAAATTTTAAAAAATACATTGGAAAGGAAAAGAAATGTACCACTAAGAGAGCTCTCAACCGACAGTGTTGCAGCAACCATAGTCAGATCAGTGCTCCACCCATTTGTTGGGAATGTGATTAATATGAACCACCATGATTGTTAATGAAATTATTTGCTATCGCTCTTTCTTGCTCACATAATCCAGGAAATCCCTAAATGACAAACACTAGGGTGAGGCTGACATTTTTAATCAATACCTAAGAACCTAGTCATTCTGCATATAGTAACTGAGTAACCTGAGTAGGTCTATTTCCATTCAGATCTCTTTCCACCACTAAACAATTCAGGCAAGTGAGGTGTCATTAGATGTGACTGGCGTATTACTAGACTTTTAAGGGTGATAAATAGTTCATTCTATTCTGAAACCTTGGAAATAATCTAAAATAATTGTGGGGGAGGGGAATTCAAAGTACCTACAGTGCTGAAATACTATACTGTCTTTCTGGCATAATAATTTATTTGATTCATGAGATTAATTACCTATTTTTAAAATGTAGTTTCAAAAAATAATTTTGCAACATTCTGTGCTTAAAATTGAGAATGCCAAGTGATTTTTTTATCATGAACTTGCACAGCAAAAATTAAAATTTTTAACATTGAAATAACTGTAAATGGTTCCAGGCTAGCGTAGTACATAATATTCCACAGCAGTGAACCAGCTATGATGCTTCTGAAACAGTGGTGGTAATGTTGTGTACGTTTGGTCCATCATCTGGATTGCCATTATGTTAGATCGGTTATTGCTGTTACAATGGCAGGTTATCATGATTTAAGTGAGTTCATACGTGGTGTTGTAGTCGGCGCATGGGGCATAGCATCTCCAAGGTCGCGATAAAATGTGGATTTTCCCGTACGATCATTTCACGAGTGTACAGTGAATATCGGGAATCCGGTAAAACATCAAACCTCCGGCATCGCTGCGACCGCAAAAAGATCGTACAAGAATGGGACCGACTACGACTGAGGAGAATCATTACACGTGATATAAGTGCAACCCTTCCGCAAATTGCGGCAAATTGGGGAGAGCGCGAGAGCTACATAATAATTTAATGAAATAATGTTCTAATGCTTAATAATGCTCTAATTACACTAGTTTTTAAAAAAGATGTTTGCTTTAACAGCCCCAAAACACACTATTTTTGAAAGATATTTTGCCTTTCAATCCAGATCTAATTTCTGTATCGGCCTCAGTTTTCATGAAATAATCGTGTTTTGCAAATGCGTACTCTCCCTATGTATTATTTGACAAAATGTCATGCTCTTATAAGAACAGATTTAAAGTAAATATTAACTACAACAACGTAAGTTTTAAGAAAAGGGATGAAACATACCTAAAAATATTTTCTTCCTGATTTCTTGCGATACTTCGCATCATGATACTTTTGCATCTTCATAAGTTCCAGCACTTGTCGGACAACATTGCCTTGATAATGCTTTCCCATTTGAATGCCCTGGTGGAACTCGTAATGGACTCGATAACACTACAAGAAAACTATGTCACTTGGAGAAATATTTTGAAAAAAAACTATTTGGCGATCACGAAAAACAATTTCGTACAAAGAAAGAAAATTTCTTCCTTTTAGTCGTGCAGCTAAAAGCTCAGAATGTTGCTTCGACAAATTTAAATCACGAACAAGATCGTGAGATCCCCCTACGACATAAAATGTGGTTAATTTGAGTCGAAGGAAACTTGAAATGTTGAGTTAGCATGGATATCTTCGTCTCTCCGACTCTGTCGTCTAAATGTTCGTTACTATAGCATTCATTTTACTGTCATATTCTCAGGAGGCAACGAGAGCGGCATTTCTTCACTATGACAAACAGGCCTTATAGTAGAGAGTACATTAGAACATTTCATAGTTTTCTTCATTTTTGAGGTGATTCCAGCGATTTTGTCAGACAGAAGAAATGAGTCTGTTGTGTGATTCGTTGGTTCCCTCCAAACATATGAACAGCAAAGGGTATGTGTTGTGGATATTTTAACCAGCATGTCAGGAGTATAGCTCATGAGCATTAAGGTTCAGTTTTTGCGATTTCTGAGTTAATTCTCCACAGATGTAACAAAATGAATTTGCACTATTTTCAAGTTTCGAAGCTTTCTCTTTCTTCTTTTCCTTCTTTTCTTCTTCTAAATTAATACAAAGCGCAAACTTTCATGAATCTAGATCCCGCAGTCACATCAAAGCACTTTCCATGCTATTAGATGCCTGAATGCTGGACCAACCAACAACAAGAAATACAACGCGATTCAGTTTTAGCATTACACCGTCAGAAATGTTGCCAGACAGTTTTGATTTTGTAAAGATGAAATTTAATAGATAATAATAGATAGGAATTCATTGTTCACTTTTCGATTGTTCATGAACAATTAGATGTGCAGAATAATTTAATGAAGCCGAAGAAAAATTACCGAATGTAGCGTTTTCAAGCATTTTCGTAAACAGGGAGTCGCATGTTACGAGAAAAATGTACCCGATAGACGAAAACTAATTTCATATTTGAATTCAGGGTCCTAGTCTTAGCTTTGAACACTATTCAGCTGTTTTGTTACAAGAATGCTGTCAACCAGTGTTATTTCTACATGAATAAATTACTATCTGGATACGTATGTGCCTATATTAATTTTAACAAAAGGGGAGAAAACATGTATATAAAAAGTGATCGCATTGCTTCCATGAAACCAACATCAACTACTCGTTATTTAAAATGAGCTCTGGCAGTTGGCGCAATGGAATACGGCCCGCTTTGTTGTGACGTGATTTATTCCTTCAACAGTGTCTGAATTTTGGTGCTCTGTAAAGAATCACTATCCAGAATTACGTAAGAAGGCGTTGCGTGTTCTGCTTCCTTTTTCCACTTATGTATGTGAAAAAGGTTTTTCAGACATGGCGGTGGTCAAGAAAAAATGTAGATCAAGAATATATCTCCAGTATGAGATGCTTACTGACAATTTTTAATTAGTACCGAGATTCGATGAACTGTGTGACACCAAACAAGTCCATCCTCATAGGCGGATCTAGAGGCAAATTTGGCGTGTGTGTGGGGGGGGATTAAGAAATTAGACAGTTATAGAAGCTCCGGAGAGCAGCAAAGCAGAAAACCCGCAAAAAACGTTTCATCTTTGCTGTCACGTTCGTACGATAGTTTTTTTGTCGAAGAAAAAATAATGAAATAGTAAATGAACGAAACTATTGTATATATTTTGTTTTATTTCTACCACATACAAAGAAGCCAATATAATTTCTCAAATAAATGGAACATTCAGGAATAAATGCCTTCCAATTATCGCGTTATGAATGTCATGATGAATATATCCCATTATGAATGTTAATGTTAACAGTATTGCTTGTTACAATATGTGTGAACATCAAATGACAACTGCATTGACATGATATGTACCTGAGGAAGCGATAAACCATATCGCAAAACGTAGTACATGTAGAAAAATAATTTTAATTGAATCCAAATATGTATTGTAACGTTTCTCCGTGGTGAATTAAAACTCACACTCAGGTATTATTTAAACAAAGATGTTTATTTGTAAAGAATTATACACTAAAACTACTTGATTATTTTCCTTACACACGACTCCGTTCTCTTGATTATTTATTTACACTGTTCACTTCTACATTATCGCATAGTCCGCTGCACTGGCCACGGTCCACTGCGCCGACCACAATTCCCTGCGCAGACCAGGGTCCACTGCACTGCTGTTTACTGCGATGCACACTTCACAGCTCAGCTTCCATTGCAGACTTCAAACTGCTGACTGCTGTACCCCTACTGCACCACTGTTTACCGCGATGTACACTTCACAGCTCATATTCCACTACAGACTTCAGAGTGCTGACTGCTGTTCACCCACTGCACCACTGTTCATCGCTATGCACACTTTACAGTACACCTTCCACTTCAGACACACTGACGGACTGACTGATTACATACACTGACTGACTCGCGGCTGCTTACTTCCGACTACTAGTCTGCCGGCCGCCGGCAGCGGTGAATTTATACGTGGCCGGTGCTCGCCTCGAGCCATCGAGAACTTGCGCAACACCTCTACGTGACTCGCGAATGGCCCGGAACCGTCCAGTTCAGGGTGAAGAGGAGGCGCCGGCAGATGACGCTACCCGCGCAGCGAATCCCGGCAGATGATGCAATATTCGTTACAATATGTTTTCAAGTGAGGTGTTTCTGATTTAATCTATCCAATACCTCCAATTAAAAGATACGAATAATAAATAATTAAAAATACAATTAATAAACAGTAAGTGATATAACAGCCCATTTTTACTTTGCATATTATAATTTAAATAAAAATAAAAGATGGCAATACCGCGCACGTATCCATTAAGATAAAGCTTAAAAACTAGAATCCTATCTATTACTTCTGGAATTAATGAATTAATAAATAATTACCATTGTATGAATTAAATAATGTAATAAATAATTAATTACCTGGATCACATAGATATACAGTTTCTAGAAGGTTTGCACTCGACAGCTGTATGACACATTAAATTGGACAATATTATAATTTTATGAATGTTGGTCTAAATAATATCACTTTAAGAATTATTTGTCTCCGGTGTGAAGAAACAACGAAGCCCATTATACCGTGGGCTGACCGTCAACTTTATATACTCACACATCAATACATTGACAATACAAATTGTAGAATTAAGTGAAGTAAAAGTGCGAGAAAGCAAAAATAGAATTAATATGGGCGTTTTCAATAGGAAATTATAATTAAAATTAAATAAATTATTTTTCATATAATTCATTAATCACAAGCAGAAATTACGCAAAACTACAAAAAAAATGGAGCTGTT